GCACCTGGGTTTTATAACACTAAGAACAGGAACAACAAAGGCTGCACTAACAAAGCATACATTTGTGTTTTATTTATTTTTTACACAAACATGGAAACCTAAAAAGATAGCTCAGGTGGGTAGCTGCGTCAGCATGCGTAGTCTGCAAAGGAATAGGTGAACTAAATAAGTAATAGGTTTATTCCATGCTGAAAAGAGGAGAGAGCAAAAAACACAAAGTTTTGACTGTGGAGCCTTTGTCAGGTGTGGCACTTTCAGGTTGACACCTGAAGAAGGCTCCACAGACGAAACTTTGTGTATTCTCTCTCCTCTTTTCAGCATGGAATAAACCCATTATGTGTTCCTTTGCCACCTAAAAAGATTGCACAGAACTGCTTTAGATATGCTCATGTTGAAAAATGGCTTGGCTAATTAATTAGAAACCTATCATGTTCCATATAGCAGCCATATCACCCTGCAACTCACAACTGGTAACCCACTGAAGCTAAGCAGATGTGAGCCTGGTCAGTACCTGGATAGGAGACCTCCTGGGAAAAACTAAGGTTGCTGCTGGAAGAGGTGTTAGTGGGGCCAGCAGGGGGTGCTCACCCTGTGGTCCACGTGGGTCCTAATGCCCCAGTATAGTGATGGGGACACTATACTGTAAACAGGTGCCGTCCTTCGGATGAGACGTAAAACCGAGGTCCTGACTCTCTGTGGTCATTAAAAATCCCAGGGCGTTTCTCGAAAAGAGTAGGGGTGTAAACCCCGGTGTCCTGGCCAAATTTCCCATTGGCCCTAACCAATCATGGCCTCCTAATAATCCCCATCTATGAATTGGCTTCATTACTCTGCTCTCCTCCCCACTGATAGCTGATGTGTGGTGAGCGTTCTGGCGCACTATGGCAGGTGGATGCTGCACATTGGTGGTGGTGGAGGGGAGTCCCCATTACCTGTAAAGCGCTTTGAGTGGAGTGTCCAGAAAAGTGCTATATAAGTGTAAGCAATTATTATTATGTTTCTAGCTGCTGTCAATCTTATACAAATAAAATACACGCTGAATGCTGCATCTGTGCAGACCAAGACAGCTTTCTGACCAGCATTCTGTTTTCAAAATGCTGTACATTGTTAAACAATGTTTAACATTGTTAAACATAAGGTTTAGGTATTTAGCATGTTAAGTCCAAATATGACAGGTATTGTCCTAGAGAAAAAGCTGTCCTAACATTATAAAATTATATTACTGTGTGAATCAAAATGGTGTTCTGATCACCATTACTCTTTTATGTTATTGAATTATAAACATCTAAACTGATCTCAGTTGAACACTCTGTAGTGAATCCACATCAAAACTGGCAGGTATCATGTCTGGCACTTGCAAATTAATATTATAACATTATTGCTGAGTCTGCCAAGACAGTGGCTTGAATCAAGTGTTATAAAAAAGCTTTTAAGGTCTTCTTTCCCAGAGGCAGTAAACCAACTGATTCAAAAAATGACAAATATGAGAAAAACTCACACCAGGTTCAGAATGGCAAAGGCAGGTGTTGCTATAATATTTGATTTCAATACGGAGGAACAGATGCCACCTTTCAAAACTTTCTTTTTGGGAGCCATTGCGCTGATAGAATTGGGATGTGGCCATTATATTTTTTAGTTTCTTTTAATCATTTATATTTTTCCAGACATTGTAGAACACTGAGTCATCCTAACAAGCAGTGGAAGTGATTCCAGGTTTCAAGCAAGACCTCCAAGCTGTGACTCCACTGCCTTTCAAGAAATATGAGAGGGAGTGCTTCCAAGACCTCCAAGACCTGCAGTGAAAGAAAGTAAAGAAGACAAATTTCTATAATGCGAGGACTATTTCTGCAATACCAAATAAAAGGTACTACTTAATTGTAATGTAAATTGAAATTAAATTTAATGTTGAAAAACAAAAAAATGAAAACACATGTGCTTACACTTGTCAGGTGAGGTCTGTACTTTTATTTTGTGGTTTGTGTTTTGTCTGTCCATAACATACTGTACCTTGATCATTCTTCTGACTGATTTCCTCATTGTATTCTTCTAATGCACCTGTTTAGCATTTCCTTAAATTAGGTAAGACTGAGACAGGAAACATACTGAGTAGCAAAAAAAAAAGAACAGCATGTCTTCAATTTCACTTGTTACATGTCTTTTTTTTATATTGTACCAACTATTTATAATGTTAAAACATGGACTTTAGTAGCTTTTCTTGTATTGCCTCACTGGATAATTTTCCTTAAGAGCCTTGACTTTCTATGGTAACTAACTTATTTTGTTACAAAGGAACAAGTAACAGGTTTATTCCATGCTGAAAAGAGAAGAGAGAAAACACAACGCTTTGGCTGTGAAGCCTTCTTCAGGTGTGGGACCTTTAGGCTGACACCCGCAGAAGGCTCCACAGACAAAAAATTGTGTTTTCTCTCTTCAATTTTCAGCATGGAATAAACCTATTACTTGTTCCTTTGCAGACTACGCATACTGATCCAGCTACCCACCTGAATTATTTTCTTACTGAGTTCTCAGTTGTGAAACTGAACCTTTATTCACACTAATATGATTCATTTGAATTCACCTCTTAAGCATGTTAGAGATTGTCTTTTAACTGTTGCACAGTTACAATATACTATTTTCTAATAGGGAAAAATATTCTAGTCAACTTGTTGTCTGGGTTAATGCAACTGAGAACAAAGCTGGAACAAAAAAAAACAGTAAATATGTGAGCCTTCGGAGACAGGACTGATATACTGTATCCTGTAATGGATTGCAATTAACTGCAAAAACATATTTCTGTTGCCTTTGGGAAGTTATTCAACAACACCTTTTAAATCACCCTTGAGTACACATACTGTAGTTTTAGCTCCAACTAATGCAAGTCTTGGAAAAATCAACATGTAGCCTCGAGGGCTAACTTGACACAGTTCACCATTGCATTCTTTCTTTCGTGTGAGAAGTGGTATAACAAGTCAGAACACACTTTTATGCTCAAGTTTTTATTAACATGTTACATATAGTGTTATCATTTTATTTTCATTTTTGTCCAATCACAAGTTCAATCACGTTAAAAAGAATAAAAGATGTACACGAGTTTTACAAAGCTCTGAGGAAAAGAATTGCTTTTCTTATAATTATAGCTTTGTCATGATTTAGACATCTACTTAGTTAAGCTTGACAGTTAATTCTCTTTTACCTGTTATTCTATGATTTTACTGAAGTACTGTATATTATAATTGTTTCACAGGATTTCACTTGAATAATTTGTTCAACACTTTCCACCACATTTAGCAGTGTCACTTTGCGGATTAGCAGGTCAGAGGTCTGCAGTCGGAAGAGCTTTGTATTGGACCTTTGAGATCTTGGCTTTATAGATGACCACTCCACACAGAAGGCCAATGGCAGCCAGGAGAGTCCCAGCAACAAAAACTATGTTGGGGCTCAGATTCACTTGGGATACTGAAAAAAACGGGTAAGAATTGGTTTGATGAAATTAATTATTTATCAAAGCTACATTTTCAAAACTACATCTCAAAAGGAAATATTTTCATTGTTACAACAGTTGGGACTCTCTGATAGATCTTTCACATATTTGCACTCATTATATTTTGCACCGGATATTTTGCTTTTCCACTGTGGTATATTTCACAGGTATACTGTGAATTCTCCTAGTATATCTCGATCTTTGATTATGCATTATGCATCAAAAAGACAAGATCGACTCACTCTTAACACTACTCAATTATAACCGAAGCTCTTAAAGTCTTTATACAAATTTACCTGCACTTCCTGAGCTCCTGGCTAGACGAACAGGTCCCTGGGAAATGTAGTGTCTTGCAGTCTGTGAAACCAAATCTCTTTTTTGAAGGTGATGCCCATCATAGATGGAAGTGCCATTGGTACATCCCTGGGCACACCTGGTGTAGGGGTTGCCAGCCTGGCACAAGATGACCATGCAGCTGATGTAAACCTTAAATCACACAAGGGCACAGACGGCACTGAACAACAGTGAAAATTACTTAACTTTTAAACATTATTGAAAACATTTTTTAAACATAAAGACAAAAATATATTGCTGTAAACTGAATAATGTACTTTTAAATCCTATCTTTTGGATTAAAGAAACAATAGAATATAGACTAATAGAAGATTAACTTCATCTTAAAATTCTGACTTTAGACGAGAACTTATGATAGTGGTATTATAAAAACAAAGTTCATGAGATCTTCATGAGTCTTTCTGACCTCTTCATACTGGCCGATGAAGGCAAAAGCTTCCATTCCAAACCTGTACTCTGTCCTGTTGCTTGGAAAGACCTGAAGTGTATTATCCAGAAGACATCTAGAAAACAAAGCTACTATTACTTTCAAAATTGTAGGGAGGTCACATTCAACCATTTTTAGAGCATAAAAGTGTTTTCATTTGAGGCTACTATGTTTATAAAATCCTTGTGTATTATATGATGGGTGCTACGAATGCTTCCAAATTACACAAAGTAACAATTATAAAAAGTATAGTAGAAATGTACTATATGAGAACCAACCAGGTGGATTAGGTTAGGTGGATTTTGGGACTCCATGAATTCGCACTTGGTTGTGTTTGTTAGCAGAAATTCATCTTTTGGAAAGAAATCAACTGGGTGACATTTTGCTAGTGGGAAACTAGCGGCAGTGTGCTTTTTCTTGCTCCACAGTTTGACTGATTAGCCCTCCTTCTCTTTTCTGGAAGGTTTTGAGTATCTGCTGTAATGTGTTTTGTTTTGTTTTAAATCACCAACCCACAAAGGTTTCTTTCTGAATAAGAACAAAGGTAAAGGTACTTTATATTACACCATACACCAAGACAGTGACAGTGATTTCTGACAATCTCTTTTGTTACCCGGTCCTGATGATGTCATTGAGACTGAAACCCTCTCCCCTACACTTCTGCAATGTTTCACACAAGAAAGATGGCAGATGTCTTTCCTCACAGTTCCTCTCATCCTCCAATTTTATTTTACTTACCCATTTCTGATGATGTCGTAGAATACGGGGTCATTGGGGTCGTCACGAGGAGTTGCTCTGCAAGACTCCACAAACAGCTGGGTGTTGGGAAGAGATGATGTCGCCACAATGTCCATATAAAGCATGTCCCGCAGCTCCGCTGTCACTGGGTAAGACCTGGAGTCGATCATTCTGTTGTACAGATTGGAGCTGAAGAACTCAAACTGATAGGTGAACCTGCCGAAGCCAGACTCCGTGAACACGTAGGGAATCCTGCGTGCTTTGAACTCGAAAGACACGTTACCCGTCTTGGGGTAGGAGCAAGAGAATCCAATCTCTACCAGATGCTTCCTGGTTATGATGTCATTTAGGTTATCAAATGATGTAATCTCATTTTTGAAAATAAGAAATTTGTGATCTTCCTGCAAGAGTCATAAAAAAGAAAATAATTCAGTTCAAAATTCCCCTGGTCACATGTCCATAGCTAACTGAAAGAAAATATTTAAATCTCAACTTCTCAGTTCAACTTAAAGACAATGTGGAAAAAGAATCAGAAACACTCATCACCTCAAGCTGTGTTCCACAGGAGTGAAGTGACATTATTGCAACTACATGAGTGCCGTTGGATGTCAGCGTACATGAGGGGTCATTGAGACGCAGATGGCTTTCATGAATTCCTCTGACTGAAGACTTGAGCACAGCAATTCTCATGGTGTTCTCAGTGCATTCAATTTCAGCTTCACCTGTTTGATTTAAATTGGAAAGAAAATAATTTTAAAATATTTATATATGTGCTGAAATTGTTATTTTTAAAATTAGAGATGAACTTGCTATAGTCAAGCATGCTGCCATTTATGATATTTTAAATTTTACACAGCTGTTACTCACAGTTATTTAACATTGTTTTACATTTCCTAAATCAAATTGTTTTAAATCAAAATGATCATACATTAAGATAGAAAAGAGCATAAACAAAATGTTGTAATAAAAATGTTCTGTTGAGTGTTGGAGGTAATGTTCGGTGTTAAAGTCCTTATGTAATAATAATTATAATTTTAAGTTGTATATTTACCACTGCGAATATAATTTCTTCCAACAATTACCACAACACATCTCACTTCTGACTGATACCTGAAAAGAGTAATTCAGAAAAAATCAACAGAAGTCCATGCATGTGACATCAGACCTCTCATAAATTAGAGATCCCAAACTGTCTTATACATCCTGTCTGGTGTTATATGTCTTATATTATACATCTGTTACCTTGGACACTGTAATGGCTACTAGGGAACACAGACCTGTATACAACAGAAAATCGCTCTTTTTGTAAAAAAATTATTCTACTGTACAAATACCTGTGTAATAGTGGTTAATGACATGGATGAGAAATAAGAATATACTGTAGTAAACAGCATACATTTGTGTTGCTAATCCTAACATCTTGGCACATTACAACTAACAGCTTGCCAGGCACATTTAATTTTAACATACAAAGTCTGATAAGATACAACAGATAAGTGATTGCTGTGTTGTGCTTCCACCTGCTTCACCACTTTTTGCAAAGAATTCCTGTTACTGGAGAATAACAAAGTATTTAAGGGAAAGTTCATATGCTAACGAGTTTGAATAAGCAGGGATACACAGTATTAATTTTAATTCACATTTTTAAACTTTAATGTGATTAACTTTAAATATCTAATATCTACAGGATATTTATTGGAGGAAAGACATAAGCCCTTAAACTGGCTCCTAGTATTCAGCGTCTGGACCAGGTTGATATTTACCCATGACAGTCCAAGCAGTTATAATCAGCCAATATATAAACCAATAACAAATCAGTAGTAATGAATCTCAAACTTGTCTTCTTTGGATTTTGCCAAAAAGACACTATTTAGAGTCGTTATGGTTCACTAAATAGGTGCTTACGTCTGTCACAAAGAAGTATATTTCATTTTTAACTGAAGACTTCGATAGAGGGGCACTGTTGTCCCAATTCAATGTGGGAGCTCTTGTTTGTAACTGATGTATTTTTCCCTATATAAACAAAACTATCCCAAATATGTTTCCTGCAATGAAGTGGCAGTATAGTAAAGTATGTAAAAAGGAGGAAGGATAGTGACAGTTGCTGTTCCAATAGAAGTTTGTTGATTGAGATAAGTAGCTAAATTTAACAGAATGTCAAATGCAGGGATCTGTGGCTCAGATAGTAATACATATGACATGTCTTGGGTTGCTTAACTACTTATTTGCTGATTTTGAATTTATATGTGCAAAAACAGAAATTAGAAGTCTGCTTAGGAGGTCCTCCCTCCCAGCACAGTGATAAGGCAAATGACAGCATATAGTGACAGCATGCTCATAGCAATATCCTGAAAGGTTTCCCCTGTAAGATTAGACTGGTAATTTCATACTCACCCATCTCTGGTCTCTGCTATAAAACAAATAGGAACATGCTCATCTAAGTCATTCACATTTGGTGTCCATCGTATGAACGCTTGTCCAGTTTTGTTGATGTCATCATATTGGAATGACTTTGTGATATTCAGAGGTCCACTGATCTTGATGTCATAAATCCTTTATAGGAGAAAATTGCAAAGATCTTAAATACATAGTAAAAGTATGCAATGCATTTAGTTTTGGTGGTATTTTATTTAATTTAGAGTAGTAGGGCAACCAATATTATGTCAATAACTGTGGTAAAGAACATTTATTAAAGTTCCTGTTAGATCAGATTATGAGCTGATTGTGTTTTTATGTTGTTTTTTTTCATTTGAAATTTTTTTTTTCTACTGTTTTCTGAAAAATGTGATTTAATGCCTTACACGGAGTAGAATGCTTGTGCTCTAACGCTGATTTCAAATACATGATCCACTGTAGCATTCAGAAAGGCACCTTGGGCTGGGGTGGGAGGCAGGAGCTTGGGTCTGTAATCTCCAAATGTGCAGGAAGGCACATCGTTATCAACTGAAACACAGCAATGGGAAAGCAAGATAGTTACATTGAGTTTAATTTCAGTATTCTGAAAACTGAAAAAAAAACAAAAAATGTTTGCTCTGTGCCTAGACTTAAAAAACACATTCATGTGAAAAACACACAACTTACATTTGTGGTTGAATTGTTGCCAATATATGCAGTACAACCAGAAGAAAAACTGCTTTTATGCATTTCACACAAGGTATGTATTTGCATTATTTTTGTCATGACAGCATAAGAGATTAAATTAAGTCAGGTGATTGTCATGGTATTGTTCAAAACTGAAATGTGCAAGCATTTCAGATTGCTCAGATAAAATGTACAAATACCACAAATTACCATTTTTGAGTCAATGAATTGACTCAGCAGCAAAATTATGTCCTAATGTTCTCCCTGCCAACGATTTCAGTAGATGTTTACATCCCAAAGACCAAACATGGAATGAGACAATATTTAGAGCACTAGCACCCTTAACTTATATGGATGTTCAAGCTCAAAAGTGCAAGTCCAGGTTTGGGGAGTCTTCCTGCATCTACAGGAACCCAAAGGCTAGCGATGTTGAATGTGTACTTGTTGATTAAGGAGTTCAAACATGCTGAGGTTTTGAAGTGTACGGACACCTGATTGTTGTGCTTCAAATTTAAGGCTCTTTTCCTTGGTCACTGTTTCTTGAGGAAGTACAACTTATTTTGAAAAATAAATTATAAAGCCATCAATGAGTGTATCAATTAACAAGATCTTTAATGCACTACTTTGCAAACAGGACCCCACATAGCAATTAATCAAAGATCAGAAGATAAAATGCAAGGTACAGTGTGGTAACAAATACTAAAATGGCTTTCATTTGACTGAGAATTGCCTGAATTGCCCGTTTCTGTTCTCTGGTACGTCACAATTATAAGAGAGGCATTACTGTACATCGTTTTTATAATTAAGTAAAGTATTTGATCGGCTGATCATAAAGGCCTGTCAAATCCTTAAGAAACAAAGAGTACAACAGCATGATTCCACTATATATCTTTCCCTTATTTGTATAGGAAGGGGTTAGCGAGAATACACATATTTTAAATTCCTACCTTGAATAATAAATTGCAAAGGGATTTTGCTCAAGGGAGACGTAGAACTGGTAGGTGGGTACTTAGTAGTGGAAATGGTTTGGTAATCCGTAAGTGAAGGTGTTGCGACAGCGCGGCGGCGCCGAGACAGTGGCAACGGGGATCGGACTGATGATGTGTTATCCCTGTAGGTAACACTGATGTACTGTCTTGGAAAATCTTCCATAACAATCTCAAAGATATGAACCCTCGTCAATGAGCGAACATATGTAATGGCACACGTATTCTGGAAGGGAGAAAAAATGCGTGCTTACTTATAAATTTACAGTTTCCAAAGAATCACAAGAATAGCCCCCAAAACATTGACAGGGCAGCAAAATAACACAACAAGTATCCATTGTACAGCATTTCAGAATTAACTTTACAACATGGGGAAAGTAAGACAGATCGTCTTGTCCGCAACAAAAACAAAAAAACATTAATATGCATGTTTCTATAAATTCAGAATTGATAAATGCTAAATGGAAACGAATTCATACAGAGGTTACAAACAAAATTCCAATAATCTTCGGTTGCCACTGATTCTACCTGCATGCTGCTGTTCATAAAATTAAAACAAAAGAAATAATTTAAAAAAACTTACCGACTTACCCATCAGATTCATTTTATGCACTTTTTAGGATATTTTGTCAGTGTGCATGACTCCATTCAATTGTTCTTATTGACCCTACTAATTTATCACATTTTACCCTTCATACTTTATATCATATGTAATTATATATTTGTAAATGAAGAATACAGTAATTGTATCTTTTGTTAGATTCCCCAAATATCCTTGGAATGTTCTTTAAACAATCTTTGATATTATAGTTTGTAACTGGAGGATATACAGTATTACTTTTCAGCACTATGGTACTGTTAAAGAATAAACCTGTTTTACCTTTAATTAGGAACACAAAGCTACACTGCACTCTATACAGTATACTGTATGCTAATGAAACCATGTGCTGAAGAAAGGAAATAAATGAAAGAATATTCAATTATTTTAAGACAGAAAACGAAAATAAATGTTCACATACTCAACTTTAAACCTAAGCAGCTCACAACTGCGTGACGCTAGCAAATACAAATACTAGACATTATTTATCATTTTTCTCCATGACACTTACCTCATCAAAGTGGAAATCTACATGTTGGCTGCAGTTATAGCATTCAAAGTTTTGCTTAAATCCATATCTGCATCTGACACGATCTCCATCTGGGTCATGTGCCAGTAATCTGTATGTTATTGGACAGTTTTGGGGTACTCTTGAAAACACAAAATAAGATTGCAGGTGTTTTAAAAAAATATTAAGCAGCATTTCCAGAAGTAGATGCACTAGTGCATGCCATTTATAATCTGTAATCTCATTTGAAGATTGATTTGGCTGAAAGCTAATTATGCCTAGTATAGGAATGTTTGTCTCTAAATCAAGATATGCACATTATATAGTTTTTTCTGTGAAGTGCAATATTTAAACACATTATTTAAAAATCTATATTGCCATACCGGATTATTGGTGGAAGGGTAGTTACAGGAGACCTGTTTGGTTGTCTGGTATCCGATCTTGTTCCTAGATCGACATATGTCAAAAGTTGCCAAGAGAGAGGACTGTATGAATCAGAGCTCCAGCAACAGCTTGACTCACTGTAATATTGATACAAACAAATGCATAAAAGAATTATGTCAGTGAAACTGAAAAATGTGATAGTTCAGCCTATTATATAGCATCATACTACTCTGTCATTTTTAAAATTGAGAAAACTTCCTTACCTCAATTCAAAAGGTTTGTCGCTGGCAATGCTTCTGGTCATGACTCCCTCTGCCTGACACCAGCCACCTCCTAATGGGTCGTCATCTATTTTCCCATATTGAAAATGGGTGTTTTGTCCACAGTTCCCACTACGGCATGGCCAGTAAAATTCCTGATGGCAGCCAGTTCTAAATGATTCTTTGTACCGAAAATCTACCTGCAATGCAGTGTTCAGTGAGTATCATTCACCCCTTCATTTAAATATGTTTTCTGTTTAATGTGTTAAGTAAATGTGATCAACAATTGTTACATTATAATATTCATATTGTTTTATGCAATACAAAAGAAAAACAGGTTGGGTAATAACAACCCATGTCTAACTGGAATGTAGGCTTCCAAGATGTGGATTTTCTTTTCCTTCCCACTTTTGAATGAAGTACAGTATTATGCTATACTCTGCTAGTAATAATACAATTAAAATATGATAAAATGGTGTTCTTATACAAACCATAATTGCTGTCTGACTGGCATTCTGTTTGCAAGAGTATTGAGTAAAGATGGAATATTAATAAAAATCACCCATGATCCTTATAAAAAGCTATTCTACTGCATGCATAGAGTGTGATATTGAAAACACAACTCTTACCCTGAAAGTCCCGTCTGGGTTTCTTCCTTTGGGACTGAAGGTCATGATCCCACCTTGCAAATGGGAGGCAAAGGCACCGGAGCCCAGGCTCAGGCAGACCACCAGTGCAATCAGAGACATGGTTTCTGAATATCACTGGTGCACAGAAATGCAAGGACAAGGGGAGAGTTGCCTCATATAGACACAGAAACACACACCAGTGAAGCCATCTTTGAATGAACACAAAAGAAAGGAAAAATAATAAGTGCCACCCTTTGGAATGAGGAAATTAATCCATAGGATTTATTCACAAATAGTTCCTTTCCGATAAGGACCATCTTAGCCCAAGTTTAAATACATGCTACAGTATGTAACACTGCTTACAAAGACCACTTTAACCCATCTAACTTTTAAGCATGAGTGGCAAGACATTAAAGTTAGTCTTAAAGCTAAGATAATGTCATGTCCTAAATAAACAAATGACATAGAGAGAGACCACTAAGGCAGGGACCTTCAGGTGTGACTTTAAGATGAGCCATGCATTACAGCTGTCTTATTGGAGCACAGCAAGTGAAATTACTCTTCATGCTTTCTTTCTGGAATGTGTAGGATATATATAAGTTATTTTTACTAAGAAAAGGTAATGCATGCTCAGGCGGTCTTCCTGAAAAGGGTCACCTTGCATTGGCTAAATAGTGATCTACAGTAGTGATACCAAGAAATGATGTATTCACAAAAGCTTCTTAATCATAAGAAACATGTAAACTGTAATGCATGGATAGAAAACAGGTATGACCATCTCATAAAAAGCAACAACGTGGCATGAATGTTTTTTCTCATTACTTTTCTTTTTCGTCTTCTTTTCAAAAATGTCTTATGCCATATTTTTCATTGTAATAATCTTGTTCGTGTGATTTATTTATTGTAAATATGGTATATGTATTGTATATTGCCATGCATAAGGAATATGCTATTATTGCTTAAGCTTAAGAAATGTTTCTGAAATTGGCCCAATGTCACTATCACCTGGGTTAAAATCACTACACCTTTGATGGGCTGTATAAATTTGTAAACGTGCAAGTACTCCTAAACTAATTTAAATTTAAATTGAATCTCCTTGGGAGGACAATATCTCATACACCACAGGCCCAGCTCTGCTTAGTTACTAAAATCACATGGCCAGTACATATGTGGACATAATACTGGTGTCCAATAACATCACAAACAACAGAAACATGATAGTAAGCTTTTTATAATTCTTTGAGGAAACAGAATTGTTGTTGACAGGTATGTTAATGTGAAACCATCAATTATGGATCCAGCTTTTTAAAATTCCTAGGTGATTTCCATTCACTTATTCTTCTAAGGTGCTAGTAAAATGATTTGATTGATCACACTTTTTTTATGTTTCTTCTCTGCAACTGTCATCTAGATATTGGTATCTGAAATGGTCTCAATTCCATCCACAAGGGGGTTACTGAATATTATTTTGATAAGATTTTGATCTACAGTGCTATGTTCCTTACAGATTTATCCCATTTTCCACTCTCTATAATTCTACTGCTTTGTTGCAAATCAATATTAGATAACTGCAATTAGACAACTGCAATATTACAAACTGCAGGTTTTGTATCAATTTTAGTTTGTAGCTATAAGTATGGTTTCATCTTTTCAAGGGTTCCCCAAAACTGCCCTGGATGACATGAAATGTCTATCAGTAGTTCAAGTAGGTGGTTGCGTCAGCATGCAAAGGCTGCAAGAGAACAAGTAAAGGTTTATTCCATGGATAGGCAAAATATCGGTAATAGCATTAATTTAAATATGGTTGAACACTGACATACATTACATACGGCTATGGCAGCGACAGCTACGGTCTCCGGCGACGACGACTCTGCAGTGATTACATCGATTTCCAGAACCAAACACTCAAAATGCACACTTTTTTCATCAACAGAGGATACCCCACCCGTGTTATTGATAGGGCCCTCACCCGACCCAATAACAGCCCTCGGACCATCAATTAGATCAGGAACTCCCAGCCTAACAACCACATTCCTTTGGTGCTTCCCTACCACCCTAACACACTCTCTACCCAGAACCATTAACGAAAACTTTCCTATCTCACAGGATGATCCCTTCATTGGGGCCCTTTCCTGACCGCCCCATCATCTCATTTCGCCGACAACCTAATCTGCGTAAGCTTCTTGCTCACAGCTCCCTTGACTGCCCTCAGCAATCATCCACACCAGGCACTTTCCCCTGCAACAGAGCTCGATTCATCACCTGCAAGTACATATCTAACACCACAGTCATTCAAAGCCCCTCAGGACAATTCTGGATCACCCAGATGACATCTTGTACCTCCAGCAACCTTATTTACTGTATCTCTTGCAGTAAATGCCCAGCCATCTACATTGGGGAAACAGCAAGGAGGCTCGGAAAGCGCTTCAGAGAACATGTTAGGGCTGTGAAGATTAAAGATTTCTCCAAGCCCATAGTTTCTCATTTCACCACTAACAGGCATGATCACACTGATCTCTCCATCTGCATTCTCAAAGTTGGGTTTCTTAACTCCTATAGCAAAAAGACATCTGAAACTAAAATGATCCCGAAACTTGGTTCACACCTTCCCCTTCTCTAAACGACAAACCTGTTTTCTTCTAAGTCTCTCTATTCATTTGTTGGTTTCATTTCGCACCTCTCCTCACCTCTCTCGACCACGCACCACTTGATTGCCTTTACCCTGCTCCCGCCTCCTCCTCTCTCTTGGCTTTTGTTCTCCCAAACTATATTATCGTTGCCGACTCCCCTATCTTTCTTACACCCGAAGAAGGCTCCATAGCCAAAACGTTGCCTTTTCTTTCTTCTCTTTTCAGCATGGAATAAACCTATTACTTATACATTGCATACTGTACATTCATGTGCCTGTGTTTGTTTTACCAGTCATTCTACATACTGATGCTCATTTCAGTTTCAATATGACTTTGATGTGTTAAAACAAAACGACAGTTCATCACAGGGTACACACAGACACAATCACACACACTCACATCGGGGGCAATTTTCCAAGTAGCCCATTAACCTACCAATACAGTATGTATTTGGAATATGGGAGGAAACCAGAGGACCCAAATGAAACCCTCATGAACACTGGCAAAAATCTCCATGCTGACTGACATAAAAATCCATTACACATAAATAAAAACCTAATTCAAAATTCGAATAGATACCACTATATATACCAGTAGAGAAGATGCAAAAATATTGACAAATCATGGAATTAAAGTTAAACATTGACAAATAGAACAAAGGCGAATTGCCATGAACCTTTTTTAAATTTATTGCACAATTTCACATTGATTTGACATGTAAAATATGGTCAGAATTTAAAATGAAATTCACCTTAAAGGTAAAGGTTTATAGATTGCAACAGTTAAAAGCCCTAGAATGTCATCTATTTTCCTATTTGCATAGTACACATTTTCTCCAAGAGTCTCTTTAAAATATCACTGATGAATTCACGTTAGTAATTCTGAACAAGCAGGTAAATCAAACAATAATACAATTATTATTAATGATGTTTCATACTATGATGGTATGGTAAGTAAACTCACAGGGGAATGTCTTTCAGGGTATAGTTCTAGGTCTGTGAAGGATACATTATGTCTCAAGTCTTGCTCATTGAAAGCTAAGCTATTTGATAACATAAATGATCAAGACCAGAGGTCTAAATAAATGCATCCTGCGAGATAAAGGTATAAAATGTTAGAGTTTTACTTATGATGCTCCTTTTGAAGGATTTCAATGTTTACTCTTTTAGGAACATTGAAGTCCAATGATGTATTATTTTATCACATTTTATAATGTGCAAGTAATCCCATACGACAATTGACTTTGTATTTATTCTTTACATACATTCCTTTGTGTAAGCACACCTTACTTACCAGAAGACCACACCCCTTGATAAATGCCAATAGGAATAAGTCTCAGCATGGGAGAATGCACACAAACCAGTTTTATATTTATTGCAATTGTAAAATCACCTAATAATAACAGCAGTTTCAGTATACGATCTTTCCATATAACCCAAACAATTTGATAAATTTGATTTTTTATTTCTTGGATGATAAATATGCAAAACAGATAATGTAAGGGAGATTAGTATGAAACAGAAAGAGAAGTAAAGTTAACAATGTGAATGGTACATTCTTCAAGCAATCCAAATAAATCATTGTGGTGATACATTTCCTTGTCTTGACTTTTTTCCAATCTAAATTTTAATCACTGTCACACATTTAATTAGAAATGTTATGTTAAAAAATGCAGTTATCACATCACAAAATAACACCAAAGCACTTTTATATTATGTGTTATAAATGACATAAGTGAGATTATTAAAGATCCTAGGTCACTATTGATAGGAGCAAGGATGTCCTGCACAATCTGGTCTACCTAAATTTTATCCCTTAATTTTAACTGGAGAAGTTATTGCTCACACTTGATCTGCTGTGTAGCCAGACTGATGGAGATAATGGTTGCTGCATGTTAGTGCTGTAGGATCCTAATCTTATGATGATTTCATAAACGTTTGCCAAAGCCTCACACCATAAATTGAAGTAAAAGAAAATGAATGAGTTTCCCTAGCAGGTACATAATAGTTTTGTCATACACTTCCAGATGTAGGAATCAGTACTATGCATCTGAAAAAAAAAGTTATTCACTGATGTATTGACACAACTGATATGTTTGTTTATTAAATTGCATTTTATTGATAATGACATCTCCCCTAAGAAAGCTTATTAAGATGCTACTTTTAATTAACCAATAAGTGATCCAGGAACCCGATACTTGTGTTAAAAAATCATGTAAGTTTAAAACTTATAAACGTTTTATATGTTTTTTTGGCTTATCTAATAGTCTATTTTAATGCAACACCCCGTTGCCCATGCTTTTGCACATGAACTCTAAAATGATAAAAGGGTTTCCTGTTTGACAGTCCTGGATCTCTTGACATTGTAGATCAATACGCCACACAGCAGGAGGACAGCAACAGCAAAAGCTCCTGCAAAGACTCTGGTGCTTGTATTCATAACCACATTCGAAGCTGGAAGAGACCAGACAATTTAATTGCCATTAAGAAATGAAATTGCAGCATAAAAACATGCCCAGTTTTCAGTCTCAAACATTGCACATTAAAACTTTATTTAATGGCCACACTTTCTAATTATATTTAAAATTATCTGCTTATTAGGAAGTTTTAAGAAACCTATTAAAATTGGTTTAAATATCCTTTTAAAATAAAGCAAAACAAAGACCCTTGATATAGATCAGTTGAAGAAAACACATTTCTCTATCTTTCTTCTTAGTTGTACTGATGTCATATTTTTATAGTGTATGCTTAAATGCTTCAAAACCATTTTCACTTTCAATAATGCTACCCTACATTTCACAAAAGTCTTTACATTAAACACCACCTATTTTGTCCAGTGATAAAGCACAGCTGTGTTTGACTGACAGTCTTCTCTTTTTTATCCACATATCAGCAAAGGTATTCCTTTCAGAATTCATTTTGGTGGGTACGGTACTTGAAATTTCAAAATGAAATGCCAAAGCAAACAAACATATAAATTCTTTATCTAGGACACTCTTTAGACCTTCTTCTTTGAATGGTGTTCTACTTACCTCTTTTTCCCAGAGCCCCTTTGGCAGCACACAGAGGTCCTTGGGAAATATAGTGTCTTTCGGTCTCTGAGGACAGGGATCTCCTGCGACAAGCAGAGTTCGGAGTGCAGCCCTGGGCACACCTGCTGTCAGCATCTCCAGCATCACATAGAATCACAGTGCAGCTGATGTACACCTAATGCCAGGAAAATGCACATAAAACAACCTTATTAAAAAGTGCCTTATTATTTTAGTAATGCTAAATCACCTTTAAAACATATGTTCAGTTATTTAGATCTTAAATCTTCTTAAAATAACTATATACAAAGGGAGTTGAAATGCAGTAAAACACAGCAAATAATGTTTAGAAAGTTTAATTTATTTTGTGTATCAGAAAATTGGTCACTATTAATTTGATCTTATACTGGCCACCAGTAGGCTTCAGATTTTGTGACAAATTTAATATATATATAGACTAAATTTAATACCTGCTCTACCTGTTCCACAATGAAACAGACACATTCAATCTGTTTTAACTAAAGCAGTCAGTTTGATTGAGAATTGAGGCTATTTCCCTGAATAAAACCTCATGTTACCTGGTCAAAATCCCCAATGAATTTGAAAGCCTTCATTCCAAACCTGAATTCAATTCCATCATGTGAATAGACAACTACTGTGTCATCCTTGATGCACCTGTAAAACAACAAGTTAACAGATTGCTGAACATTATGTTGTGGTAATTGAAAAATGCAACCTTCTGGCAGTTTTAAACATTCTTGTATCCATGAAGGAAAAGAAATACAGTAGAAAAATACTGAAATGTTATAAGGGGCACTTTTTCTATACTGAGATATTCAGGGAAATACTGTATGTGTGTATCCCTTCCTAGAAGCACCGTCTTATTGCCAGATTCAGTCTTTCTTATGTTTCTTGCTGAAAAGTCCTAACTCTTCTGAACACTTTCCAGAATACAGCAAGCCAACACCTTACCCATCTTTCATGATGTCATAGTATATCGAGTCATTGGGGTCATCATGTGGGGATGCCCTGCAGGACTCCACAAAGAGCTTAGTGTTTGCAAGAGAAGAGTGAGCCTGGATGCTAATGTAGAGCATGTCTTGGAGTTCCACTTCCAGAGGGTAAGTGTTAGGGTCGATCATTTCGCTGAAATTACTGCTGGTGTAGAACTCAAACACATAGCCAAAGCTGCCGAAGCCAGCCTCTGTGAACACATAGGCGGACTTGTGGCTCTTGAAATTGGATGTTATTCGACCCTTCTTGGAGTAGGTACACGTGAACGGTATCGCAATTAGGTGTTTCCTGGTTATCACATCCCTGATATCGTCAACTGATACTATTTCATTTTTGAAAGTGAGATCAGTTGCGGTTTCCTGCAGAACGAGAAAAGTCAGAAAAGCTGTAATATAGTGTAGCAGGTGTTCTGCATATTGTGAATTCTTATGAACTGAGCATACAATAGAAAAACCCTAATTCTCCAACACTGGTAAGATCTTCATATATACATGTATAAACGAATAATGTAAATATATCTACAAATGTATATAACAATGCACTATGTAGTGAAAATTGTGAAGATATTGATATCATACATTTTAAAATACTACCTCAAGCTGTGTTCCACATGAGTTTAGTGACACAGTTGCCAATACATGAGATTCATTAGATGTCAATGTACACGATGGGTCATTAAGGCGTAAGTGACTTTCATGAAGTCCTCTAATTGACGACTTGTTCAGAGAAATGGTCATAGTGTTCTCAGTGCATACAACGTCAGCTTCACCTGATGAATAAAAACATCAATATTTATTAAGCTTAAAAGGCATTAATGACTACATAATACTATATACTGTTTAAATGTAGTAATATTAACTCATTAACACAATTACAGGATAAATACTGAATATACAGTAATGCAAATTGTTATACAATATTGATATGTATACAGTTAATTCCATTAAACTGAGCTGTCTTCAGGCTAAAATAATGTTAATGAAAATTATAACATCATTAAACCAGCAACAGCCTTTACTTTGACATACTGTATAATACTACTATCATGACTACAACTACTAATAATCTTACCAGAACGTGAATGGAATCTTTCAACAGCTACTATTATGCATCTCATTTCAGACTGACTGCAAAATGTCAGAGAATAATCATTAGGCATTTTTAATACAACACAATATACAGAAAAATAAAAACAGAAGCTTATCTACAGGAGACATATTGTACCTCTCGGTTGTTTCCGCAGCATAGCAAATGGGGATGCGGTGATATAATTCTCTTTCCTCTGGCATCCAACTTATCCTTGCCTGTAGGATTCCACTGGTGTTGTTATAAACGTGTTTTATTAGGTTTGGTGGGCCACTGATCTGGAAGTCATAGATCCTTTTTTTTCAAAAAAGGAAAAATAAACCACACTCAGAAAACAGATTCTGTCATGTACAATATTTAATTCATCCCTAATATAGACAGATGCATTCTTATACATTTCTATATGCAAGAAATATAATGATCATAATATCACAACATTTTATATGAATGGCTTAAAGGAAAGAGGAATAGCATCACCTATACATACATAATTTTTATTCTTCCAAACACCAAAGGCTTATGCTAGACATCAAACATTAAGACATCAAATAGGCTTACATTCCCTGTGTGGCTTGAGCTTTGACATGAAACTGAAACTCCTGGCCAGCTGTGACATGAAACATGTCACCGTGAGATGGTGTTGGAGGTAGAAACTGTGGTATCAAAATCCCAAGGTCACAGGTAGACAGAGGTGGAAGAACTGCAATACAGTGCAGTAAAGAATAATACATGTAAATGTATCTATTAGGGTTAGGGTACTTCTAGAAGCAAGAAAGAGTTGCCATGAATTATAGGACACATTAATATTATCGAGTACTTGTAAGGATAATACAGTTATCTGTGGCTGTTTAACAAAAAATACATCTCACTATAGACAGTTCTGCTTTCTAGCACTATGAAATGGTTTATCACAGCCAAATCTATGTTGATTTTACATGCATGTGCCTTTGAATACCTTTTTCTGAGGTATAAAACCATTGTGAATTAAATTTACACAGAACACTTACTCTCTATGGCAAATTGCAAAGGCAATTTACTGAGTGCAGCAGTGTTGTTGTCTGTGTTTTGGGAAAAGAGGAGCCTGACAGATGAGGTCCCATCTTCATATGTTAGGGATATCATTTGCTTTGGGAAATCCTCAATTACCAGCTCAAATACATGAGCACCAATGCTTGTAGTGTTTATAATATGCAAAGTACACATATTCTGAAAAAGAAAATCAGTTAGAACATAAAATTAATTTTTAATTGGCAGCTGAGGAGGAGATTATTTGTAGGAAACAATTATTTTAATATTGATATATTAATATATACAGCAAGCATTCACACCTGACTTAATCAGCTCTGTCTTCATGTGGCTATTTTCCAAAAACATCTAATTGAGGTAGCAATTATCAATCTAACAATGATACGCCATCCTTTTATTAAAAAAACAAATTCTGCCACTTTTATGCTACAGGGTATTACTCATTTCAACACATTCAAGAACATCCAACAGCCGCTGTTCACTTCACTGAAGTGATTTAGTTATGAAACCACTAACAGTATGAGTTCACCATTGCACCAACATTGTGTTTTCCCATGAAGCTGTCCGAGCTGTGGATATTACCTCACTCAGACGGAAGGCGGGGTTTTGGGAACATGATGCACACTCTCCGCTGGCTGCTTGCCCAAACCTGCAATGGACATGATCACCGTCGGGATCATGGGCCAGCAGCCTGATAGTTGTCATACAGTTCTGGGGTACTCTTCAAAACACACAAAGAAACATGTTACGGACTGTTGATGACTTTGCAGCAGCTACTCTCTATACTTTTTAAAATATTGTATTTAAATATTCTACAGCACCCAACTTGTGCATTAAGTGTCAATCTTAAGGATACAATTGTGAGTGATTTTAAAAGGGAACTTGATGATAGAGTGTAATGAGAGTAATATCCATTTTTCAATATGTTTCTCATCAATATTATATTGGTATTAAACAGAAAACAAGGGGTTTGACAGTACACTTTTAGGTCAATAAAACTGTGTTTCTTTTCCATTCTGGGGTCAGATTGGTTTCCTTCCCTACTCTGCCACGATTATTTTAATTGTTTTAAAGTCCATGCTATTTCACCCTGTATTTTTTTTTCGGTTACATTTTTGTGCTTCTACTTACTATGAGGTTTACATGAGAATTGTAATGGTACATGTATTCCCCCCCAAGAAAAAAGTAAGGAAAGAGGCTGCCATGTATTGTCACCAGTCCAAGGCCCACTTGTTTAATGCAGACACCAATAAGTCGTTAAGTAGTTGTTTCATTGGCATTACAGGTACAATCAAGGAGCTGACCGTATTGAAGATAGTCATGAGAATGCATCTGCGGGTACTTGTATATTTGCTATGAAAAAGTTTTTATGCCAGAAGCACTGGATGTTCTGCCCATATACTGTAATCTACAGTGTAGATACTTGATCTTTACTAATCAAGGCGTGCATTCCTAATAAACATAACACAAAGAAGATTAAACTCCAATACACCTGACTCCTGAAATACAGAGTAGTGGGTCCTACATTAATTTATGCCAGAGCCTGCACATTTATCCACGTTTCTTCCTCAGTGACTACCTGCATTCCTGCCGGCATTATAGCCGGCTACAAGTTCCTTAAAAATGTCACAGACCTGATCGCCGATAGCATTGTGGTAACTGGAGATCTATTGAGCAGACTTGAATCAGATCGATTTCCCATATCCACATGAGTCAGCAGCTGCCAGTTTGATGTTCCAAGAACATTAGGGATCCAGCAGCAGTCTGCAGCCCTATTTCAGTCGGAAAAGAAATAATGCTGCATTCAGTAATACGAGTGCTTGTTCCTAGAAATATTCTCTATAATCTGTTCATCATCAAACATTTGAATCAATGTAATTGACTTTAATAGACAGGCTATCTATGATAATTGATTTGTTACCAGATTCTAGAGTTTGGTAAATTAGTATGTTCAAAATAAAAATGCCCTTCAACTAGTTCGCCATAATGAAAATTTTTTGTTTTTTTTACATTTTCAGGATCTGCTTACCTCAATTCAAATGGCTTATCGCTTGAGAGGTTTCTTAATATGTATCCTTCTGATTGGCACCATTGCCCAAGGTTAGTATCCCTGGCTACATCCACAACTGCAGCATCAACAACCTCCCCACAGTCTCCATTCTGGCAGTTCCAGCTGTGCTCATGGTTGCAGGACCCATTGGAGGTCTCCTTGTAACGGAAGTCCACCTACAAAGCATGTTGGGGTATTTAACTGAAAGCAAATGCGGTATTCACCCACTGATATTATGTTCGTTTGCTTCGCATTTTCTATGTATTAAATTTTCTTTTAAATGTTTAGCCATATATCAAATACGCCAGTGATCCAGCCAAAATTAAGAAATAAAAACAATCTTTTCTGTTACTGTCCATGAATATGAAAATGGTGACCATTATCTGTGTTTTTGTTCCAGTTTCTATGTCTAATTATTCTGTTGTCTTGGAACAATAATTATTGTTGTGTTTTTTGTTTAAAGAAAGTGTGATTTATTTATGTCTACAGTTTTTGTAAGCATTTGGAATCAACTCTGTAACGCAGTCCATCTTTGAGTGTTAAGGCATAAAACATTTCACAAAAATTTTGTGCAATGAGCAGTGAAATACATACAGTATCCCAATCATTAACTTTTTCTTGTTATCAGGAAATATAGGGGTCATTGGACTGTACATGTGTATTTTCAGAACATAAAGTAAAGAATCTTGTGTACACAACATATGCATTTTTTTAAATTAAAAATTGAAATAAGTATTTAGAACACTGTTGAAAATTTTCATATTTTGAGTGGATGACAATTAGTGCCTTTTCACAAAATGCAAAAGTTTTTAATATTTGAATTTAAGGGCTTATGTTTTTTTAGTACAATTCTACATTGTCCTGTATCAGTTTCAAAACTCAATTCAAAATGACTGATCAAATAAACAAGAAACTATTCACCTTTCTCACGTTCTCTGCCTCCCCATGTTAAATTGAAACTTTCCTTGTCTCCATATGTAGTACACATTATGAATTTAACTTACCATAATAGAACCATCAGGATTTTTTCTAATGGGCATAAAAGTCATTAACCCGCCTTGCATGTGTCCTGCAGTGCCTACAGAGATCAAGAAACTAAAAAGCCATAACTCGTAAAGAGCCATTGTTGCTTGATGTCTCTCCTTCAGCAACTGAAAAGATAAAAAATCTTGTCCTTTGCTTTGGTTGTAAAATGCCCTGGGCTGACAGGTAAGAACAAAAGAAAGAAATATCATGTGCTATGTAAATATTCACAGCAATGTCTTCCTGCTATTCAAACATTTTTCTGACTGATCATTTTCATTTCAATTTTGCACTTGTAATTTACCACATAGGGACTCATTGTTCCTATTAAAAGAGCTTTGTTAATGATTTTTTAATGAAATTCTAAAATTGAAATGAAAATGAAAGTCTCCAAAAGTTAAGAATGTCGTTTATATAGAGGTAACTTCAGAATGCTTTCCAGACAAATGCACTAAATGCATTGGTTGACAAATTGTAAAGTGATATTTGTGCGAGACAGAAACAAATTAATAAATTCTAAATGTATTCAACAGATGAAATGCCAAATGAACACACACTTGTCAACGCTGAGTGCATTAACTGTGACAAGACTGAAGTAATGCTTATTGGCACCCCCCCATCAACTTTGTAAAGCCAGTCCTGTAAACCTATCTGTAGATGGTTTTGTAATTGAGCTTCAATCAAAATTGAAAAACCTTGGGGTTATATCCGATTCTGGCTTAACATTCGACCCACATGTGCAGCATACTGTCAAAACATCTTTTTCCACCTTAGCATAGCCCTATGCTATCACTAACTGTGGCTGAGAAGCTGATCAACACATTTGTGTTCTCTCGAATTGACTACTGCAATGCTCTACTCGCTGGGGTATCTAAATCTACTCTGAACAAACTGCAGTATGTCCAAAATTCAGCAGCCAGAATCCTGACCAGGTCTAGTGCAAATGATCACATTACTCCTATCCTGGAGTCCTTGCACTGGCTTCTGGTCAAATTCCGTGTGGACTTTAAAATCCTCATGCTCACCTATAAGGCTCTGCATGGCTTGGCACCTCAGTACCTGTCTGACCTATTATCACCCTACTCCCCACCTCGCAACCTTCACTCTTCTAATTCTGCTCTCCTTACTGTCCCCCCAAGCCCGTCTACATTGTATGGGTGACAGGGCCTTCTCCTGTTATGTTTCCAAGCTCTGGAACTCTCTGCCCAAGGATATCAGAGAGTCACTTTCTCTAAACTCCTTCAAATCCAGACTCAAAATCCTCTTAACTGGTTCCATTCTTGACCCCTCTGCTTTTCTTAGTACCACCATCCACGGTTTCCTCTATATATTGTAATTGTGTTTTATCTTGTGTATTATTTATTGTCATCCTGTAAAGCGCTTTGAGAAGCCACCTTTAAAGGCGCTATAAAAAATAAAGTTTATTATTATTTTAGTTCGTCCAAAAAGCTGCAGAACAACCAGGAACAATTACAAAGGGTAGGGAAATAATTAAAAAGGGTAGGGAAATAACAATGGCAAGATTAAACTGCTGACAAACCTGTCAAGTATCATACACAAACACCTATGGTAACTCATCTGTGTGAAAGGCAGCTGATGCAGAAACAAAACCAAAAGCAGATACCAGAGCTGAAGTCAGACCTGAAAATGACCCTTGACTTTGACTCGGAAAGCAGCCACCCACTGCTCTTTAAAACAAAGAGGTAATGAACTTTTACAATGGTTTTCTCATTGTTTTGAATGATCAGAAAGTGTTTTCTAATACCTAAAATGTAACCTATTCATAATCAAAATTGTAATTGTAGTTGTCCCCGTTTCCTTCCTTTTATCTTCCAGTTTTCTAGTGCATTTTTCACACACGAGATTTACTTCTTAATATACAGTATAAAACAGACACAGTTCAGACATGAAAACAGCTCCACAGCCAAAACGTTGCGTTTCTTTTCTTCTCTTTTCAGCATGGAATAAACCTTTACTTCTTCCATAAAATAGACATACTGTAGATGCCATCTATAAAGTTGTGTGAAAGTACCTTGTCTGCCTTTTCTCAGACATCCAGTTCCACCCTCAGCGCACCAGCAGGCTACAAAAGGAGATACATACCTGGAGTTAAGTTCAAGGATGCCTGTTTTTTGTGATAAATCAAGTGCATTGCATTTAAAAGCAAATTCTTTAGCCTGTGGATAAAAAGAAAAGTTTTAATTGTTTGAGTAAATTACCTACCTGTTTAGATAAATATTGCATAGGCTCAATGACAAAATTACTGTACTGTATAAATGTAAAAGTAGTCAAATATGTCCAAACAACTTTACTGCTGCTTATTGTCAACAGCTTTGTGTTTTTCAGCACAGCTGCTCTCAGGTGTGGATGAGGAGAAAGGACTTACTGAACCCTTTGCTTTTATTGCAGATGGAAACCAGATCTCACAGCTCCACCTAGTGACAATGAAATGCCTCCTCAGATAACAGCATTTTTCATCATTTTTATTAGGTTATTAGTTATAAGTGAGGTTGTAGTACCTATCAAAATTCTTAAACTTTTCAGCCATGATGTGATGTGGCTTGCTGAAACTGGAAGACAACGTAGTATTGCGTTTTATAAGGAATCTAATGCCAGTGTTTTGAAAATATACCATCTTGTATTTTCTTAATGTGTAATAAACTTCACATTAAAGAAAAAATAATGAAACCATAGCAAGGAAACAAATGCTTTCCCCATGCTCTATAAGACAGAAAAAAAAAGACCTAAATTCAAATACTGTTTATTTTAAACAAAATGTTATCACTTTGAGAATACAAACATTTGATTTGGGTAATTGTCATAGGTCTAAAACTTTTTTGTAGTTTTAGCCCCCCTTTGCTATACTTCTATGTTAGCCCTGCCTTTTAAGAGAACATCTGCATGTGATGGGAATGATGGAACAATACCTCAGGTGGACTCACATACACTCAAGTCCTCCTATGTGATGACTCAAGGGTTTGTCAGGGAGTCCGTCTTTGTACAGAACACCACTCGATAGGACTCAAATTGTGATACTTTGAATCCTGTTGTCCAATCACCCCAGACCTCCACCTGGAGTGATTGAAAGCAACCTGGCCACACCTTACCAGATAGATCACATCCTTCCAGTGGGTCCGCCCTGCCGTGGATATGCCCTCATATTGCTTGTATAACAACATGCTTGCAAGACAAAGGTGTGGATGCCCAACTTACCCAACTTGAAACCTGTTAAACATTTCGGACAAAAGCGAATAGGCACAAGCTTGTCTAGGTTCTTCGAATGGTACGATCACCGTAGAACAGCTCCAGCGCACTGCAAAAATGAACACTTTCCTACTAATCTTTGCACTTGTAGAGAGTACTTTCCTAACATGTCATGCTAACAGCTTTGCAGAGTCTAGTGTCTTGGGATTCATAGGAGTCACTGTTGCACTAGAAGCCTAGAGAACTTTGTCTGACTACTCCCAACATTAGCAGTCCTTTTTAAATGAGCCTGTGGGGTCCACTTTCTAAGGAAGAAGAACAGAGAGGCAAGTATTCAATAGAACTGTATACATAAAAAATAGTGGAATTTTACGGAAGCGCATTACTGCCCCCAAGAAAAAAAAATCCTCGCCCTTATCTCGGAATTACGAGATAGTAATTCTAACATACTTTATGCGATTGCATGATAGCACAATTGTCATATACACTACTACCTATATCAAGTAGGTACCTGCGTCAGCATGCATAGGCTGCAAAGGAACAAGTTAAAGGTTTATTCCATGCTGAAAAGAGGGTGGGAAAATGAACGTTTCAGCTGTGAAGCCCTAACAGCCAAAACATTGTGTTTCTTTTCTTCTCAGCATGGAATAAACCTTTAACTTATTCCTTTAATACCTATATCACTACGTGCAGAGTTACAGTTTTAAGTGATTGTATGTATAACTGTTCATAATGGAACCATCATTGCTTTGATCTCTAAATCCCACAAAACTGGTCCTCATGCTTGCAATGATTCTTAAATTTGTTAAAAATTGCAAGATTTCATTAGGACTAAACCCCAGTTGAAAGTAAATTAAACCGAAAGTGCCAGCCAAGTTCATGGTAGCTTCTACATGCATTCAGTGTACAACATAACGGGTTGTACATACACTGATGTAAGCAATGCTATCTGGTAATTCCAAGATAAGGCGGAATTGTTTTTTCCCCTTGGTGGCAGCAATGCGCTTCCGTAGAATTTCATACTAAGCCAGGAAAAGTCACAACTGACAATATGGTAGCTGAATCTTTGACACCTTAGCCTCCAACTTTAAAAGATAACCCCCAGTCTTTGAAGATTTCAGTCTGTGGCAATTTCAAAGAGTCACAAGCTGATCATGCACAAAAGCAGGCATGTTCCTGCTAGAACAGCTAACAGCTTAAGTGCATTTTAAAATTTTTGACAAAACAGAATTAAATAAATGTTTCCATCACTTACAAAGCGACTGCCATTTGACTCATTCTACCCCTTTATTCACAGCATAATATTAGTTTTCAGATAGATGACAATTCATTATGGCGTTTTAGATAAGCTACTTTATGTTGACTTTTGGGATAGAGAAATCTGTGCATAAGACATTATCAAGCCATTACGCAAATACAGATCATCCCCATTCTGTCTATGATGAATTACATGGATCAAATATATTCTAGAGATGAAATTAAGATGTTGCGCTGAACAGCATCATTCACATCTTCGTATTAGGTGGCCAAGTTCCTGGATTGCTTATGTTCCAAATGTCTGCAGAATGAATGAAAGAAAAGCAGTGGTGGGGGAGAAGCTCTACCCATACTTGTTTTACAAAAACCAAACAAAATGTCTTGTGTGGAGACATCTGCAAGCATCCAAGGCACTGCTAAATGGCAGCATTGAATTTTGAAGCATAGAAACATGTGCAGGCTGAAAGAATCCATGTTTACCATCTTCCCATCTTTTATTTATCATAAAAGAAGAAAGAAGCCCTTAAAATCTGCAAGGACGACTTCCACAGCCAGTAAACTGAGTGAAAGAAGTGGCACCCAATGTCAGTCCATACTGGTTTCCTGTTACTGCAGCAGGTCGTATCGAATGGCCCTTCTGGTTTTGTAGATGACTGCACCACACACCATAGCAGTGGTGCCAAGAACAGCCCCAGCGACGACCACGGTGTTGACGTTCACATTCACTGCGAGATCTGCAGTGAAATTAAAAAAGTGGGAGAGAAAACTGTTTACTACTGCACTACAAAAGAAAATGTACTCATTATTAAATACATTTGGAATCACCAGTAGAGTATATTCTCAGCAGCAAGACAGTCATATCCTTGAAGTAAAGGACCCGAAGGCTGCATCCCAGCTGTTTTCATTTTGAAAATAAATGACTCAGCATAAGTGATTGGACAGATAACATACAACCTAATGGATTAATTCCTTAATTGATTTTAAAAGGAAGGCTTCCTGCCATATGGAATGCTTACAACTAATGCATGGTCTTTGTGTAACCAAGTATGCAAGTCTTGACAAAGGCTACTGAATGTGGACAGCATTTAATACATTTTTTGGAGTACAGAGAGTGTACATCAAGCTAGTTTTTTGGTTTTCAACAATTTTTGCTGGACACCAATAACTCGGGTTGTGCATTATTTTTGAAAGCAGACTTATTAAAATTTCGGAATATAAAAAAATATGCAAAAAGGCCAGAGTAATTTGGGTTATATTAAGGTAACCATAGATTTTTCTGGCCTATAATCTCGGAGATTACCTTCTCAAGTGTCAAAATACAGGCCTATTAATCCATGATCTACTGTTTAAGACAGAAACTCTGATAAATTAACTAAACATCTGGTTGAGTCTTATCCAAGGAGGTTTTTAGTTAAGAAATCTGTCACATGACAATTATCTGGTGTTTTTGAAAGTTTCATCTGCACTTTTTTGCCATCAGGCCTGTCTTTACCTGAATTATCTGTAAGATTCCTATTTATCTGCACAGGTCCCTGAGAAATGTAGTGCCTCTCCGTTTGTATGCCCAAGGATCTTCTGTTCAAATGGCTTAGCCCAAGCTGAAGGGAGGAGGATGTGCTATTTATACAGCCTTGAGCACAACGAGTGTTGGGATTACCGGCTAGGCACAAGATAACAACACAATTGATATACACCTGTAACAACACATGGTGGCAATTAGTCAGCAGGCAGAAGAGAATTCACTCTGAAACAATATGCATCTAGAGAACAATCACTGCGGCACAGGGACCACATAACTCATGGACTCACTATGATACTGGAATAAAGCTGTTGTCTGTTGGTGAATTAATTTCAATACATTTAAATAATAGTTTACAGCAGAATTTCTTCAACTTTGTAACAGGGATGTATAACTTAATCCATAGTGAATTTAATATTTATTAAAGTTAAAATGAGTAAAGAAAGCAGAGCATTTTCTGAAAATCCCCAAACTAAGATACTGTATGCCCATTTGAGACCCAATCGCTCATCATACTCTCTGTAGCACAAGGCAGTTGTCACAGATGTGGCATTCTCACTTCATACTGTATGGGCTATTTCTTTTGAAAAAGGATTCTCAGCAGTCTAAAAACAAAATTCACAGTGAAGCAACACTTTTGATTTTAAATTATAAAAAGTTTATAGCAAATGCATACAGTCTTTAAAACAGGTGGTGGGGTAAGGGAATCGAATTCTGTTATGATAAGGATCTTATTTACACACATCTGTGATTAGCATCCAATTTTAAAATTCCCCCTCCCAGTAAATCTTGAGGTTTCACCTGGTTATACTCCCCAATGAAATTGAAAGCTTTCATTCCAAAGCGATAAACCGTCTGGTTGCTTGGGTAGACCACTAAAGTTTCATCAATTTTGCACCTACAAAAAAAATCAATTCAACAACAATTTTCACATGGGATGGATAGAGTATAGTAGGAAGAAGAGAAAAAAACGAGAGTAGAAACAAGTTGCACAATGGTACTTGACAAGATTCTGGTAACAGGCAGTGTAGCAATTATGAACATTAGATATATTGACAAATACAAATAGACTAAAGGCCAAACACATCTTTAGAGAATAAATTACGTACCCATTTTTTATTATGTCATAATATATTGGATCATCTGGGTCATCATGAGGGGTTGCTCTGCAAGACTCCACAAAAAGCTGGGTAGTGTTCAAAGACGAGCGTACTTGTATACTCACGTACAGCATCTCTCCTTGTTCAGCGTTCACTGGGTAGGTGCTGGGCTTAATGAGCTCTGTGAAAGCACTACTGTTATAGAACTCAAAGACATAGGTGAATCTTCCAGAGCCTGAACTTGTGAATGTATCAACTGTCTTGTGCACAGTGAAGGAGCCAGATGTCAGGAATGTTTTGGGAAAGGAGCAAGAAAATGGTATCTCCAGAACATTCCCCCTGGTGATGACATTATGAGGCGCATCAAATGATGTAATTTCATTTTTGAAAACCAAGGAATTCTCCATTTCCTGAAAATACATTAAAAACATTATAGGGCATGTGGGGAAAAAAAACTTCTTTGGAAAGTCATTCATAATTGGTAAATGTATAAAAGGATCTTGTTTTTTTTTTTAATATGCAGTTTAACATCTTTTCTGTATGCATTAGGGAAGACACTGTCTAGAATGATGTGCAAATATTCAAGGTCAAAGAAAGCAAAAAAGAGGGAAGTTACCTCAAGCTCTGTCCCACATGAATTTAATGAAACTGAGGCAATGAAGTGGGATTTATTGGATGTCACTTTGCAAGATGGGTCATTGAGCCGCAAATTATTTTCATCAACTTCATGAATGGAAGACTTGTCCACAAATACGGACATTGTGCTTTCAGAACACACAACTTCGGCTTGTCCTGTTGATTACGTAATTACTTACAACATTACACCATTCAACAATTTAATTAGTCTAATACAGTAGGTGTAAGCAGTTACTCACTCATACCTAGTTAATAGCACAATTAATGCAGACGGCAACTGAAAAAGTAATAGATGTATATTCATTTGAACGTACTTACTCGTCTGTGTAGCAGCAGTTCCAACCAACACTACTATACATCTTAGGTCTGACTGGTACCTAAAAAAAAGTAAATTACACACTTAATTTTAGAAGTTTAGGAAATGCACAATAAGTAATAAATAACCTTAATAAATTACCCGTCTCTTGTTTCTGCAATAAAACACATAGGAACATGGAGCCCAACATCATTGTCTTGTGGTGTCCACTTTGCAATTATCTGCCCGATCTTACTTGTCCCGTTGTAATGGAATGTTTTAGTAATATTCAGAGGCCCACTGACTTTGATATCATATACCCTTCAACAAAAAAAAAAAGGAAAAGATTTTTAGGTAGAACATAAGGTTACAAATAAGTGGAGGTCAGGAAAAAGTTAAATGAATGTTAAAGATGCAGTTTACATCACTTGAATGAATTTAAAACCATCTTACACTGAAAGATTTGCTCGTGCTGCGACAGCGAGCTGGAACTCGCGGCCAACTGTAGCTTCTCTGAAAGCTCCCCAAGGAGGAGTGGGCAAGAGGAACTGGGGCCTGAATTCTCCAAACTCACAAGAAGGCACTGGAGGATTAACTGAAAAACGTGCAACAGTGTGATACTTGCAGCTTCCTACATTAATAGAAGTCCAATAGGATTTTCAAATGATCTCTTCAAATAAAGTGTGGATAAAATTTAAAACTATTAATCAAAATAAACAGCAATTAAATCACAAGAACCACATTAAAAATTCAGCTCCTGCAAACAGTAACTGAAATTGTAATGAGAAACTAAGTAATTGGATACAATAATAATTGCTTACACTTATATAGCACTTTTCTGGACACTCCACTCAAAGCGCTTTCACAGGTAATGGGGACTCCCCTCCACCACCACCAATGTGCAGCACCCACCTGGATGATGCGACGGCAGCCATAGTGCGCCAGAACACTCACCACACATCAGCTCTCAGGGGGAGGAGAACAGAGTGACAAAACCAGTTCATAGATGGAATTATAAGGAGGCCATGATTGATAAGGGCCAATGGGAAATTCAGCTAGGACAATGGGGTTACAGCCCTACTCTTTTTAAGAAACACCCTGGGATTTCTAATGACCACAGCGAGTCAGGATCTCGGTTTTACTTCTCATCTGAAGGACAGTGCCTTTTTACAGTATAGTGTCCCCGTCACTATACTGGGGCATTAGGACCCACATGGACTGCAGGGTTAGTGCCCCCTGCTGGCTCCACCAACACCTCTTCCAACTAAGCAACCTTAGTTTTTCCCAGGAGGTCTCAAAGGTCTCAAATCCAGGTACTGACCAGGCTCACACCTGGTATACAAACCTCAATGCTAAAACTTTTAAAATTTCTACCAGATCTTAATGTTTACAGAATCACAAGTCTCACCTTTAAAAACAAATTGCAAAGGAATTTTGCTGAGTGGGGAAGACTGCTGAGGAGTTCTATTGGAGGAGGTGCCATCTGTGTAGGTGAGGTTAATGTCTTCCCTGGGAAAGTCCTCCAGTACTATTTCAAACACATACACAAGCCACAAAGATTCAGAAAATAATAAAGTGCATGTTCCCTAAAAGAAAAAAAATCCAAAATTTCAAAATCTTCACAAATGTAAGAACGATCATCTGAATATCCTCAGTTCCATACACTAGGCTCACTTTTTCTTATTGCACCCATAGAGCATTACACGTTGCACACAACAATAAGGCAGGAGAAGAAAAATAAAATTTCAAAAGGGTTCAACATTTCATTTATCATAAAAATAAAATCCAAGATTAAAAAATAGAGTTTTTCTTAACTATATTGCTCGTTTAGTTGCTATTAACTTATTGGTTCAAGGTCTTCAAACTGTTTCTTGAACAGTAATCAGTTTCAACAGTATAGACAGACAATTTGCGCCACAATTATTTTAATCAAGAAGTAAACTACAGCACAATTTATTCTTAATTATTTTCGGGCCACCACTTTATTAAGGACTTAAGTAATTTAAATAAATGCTGAGTTAAGTTATTCCTTTTCTAAGAATACTCGAAACATATTTACATTCTAATTGGGGTTGCATATCTGAATTAAGACGTTCAGCATCACTACTGTCATAACACATTTTGCAATACAGTATATCCAAACATTCTGTTTGCTTTCTACATGTCTGGAAAATATTGCTTTTTAGCTAGACTGTCTCTTCCATAGTATCTACAATTTAATTTACCCGTACATGGTCCTTCCTGTTATTGTTTGTAACGCCTAATATGTCAACATAGTCCCATATATTCCAATTTCAGAATGAAGTGCAGATATCATTCCCACCATCATCATGCTCATCTTCACCTCATTTGGTTTTGCCCCATTTGCAAAGTCAACAAGTTTATAAGCTCTGTAAGTGTCTGGGCAAGGTTGATATACAGTACATGGAGCCTTCAGTCACGTACTAAGCCTTTTAGAACTGTAAACCTTGCCACTCTCCTCTTACAAATACTATTCTCTATCTTCACATTCCCAGTTTAGGAAAACACACTCCTAAACAAGCTGAGCTTAAGGAAATAACATCACATCTTAGGTTTTAAACAGCTCAGGAGCAATCTTGGATTACTTTTCCAGTACGAAAACAGTTTCTAGTCAGTTGAAGAGAAATTGATAAAATATGTTTACATTGACCTACAGTATAAGAATCCCTAAAACATAATACACACTGCATGATCAAAGTAATCCAAAAATGTGAGAATTATTGCTAACAGTTATAAGTTTACTTCTAGTAACAGTCTGTGATAGTTATTTTACAGTAGGCATACTTACACGCATTTTGAAATGAGAAACATTAAAAAGGCTGTAGGAAACCTTGAATCCCTATTATGTTAACTACAATATTAGGCATAAATGCCCAAGTGCTGTTTTTAAAACAGGAGTTCTAAATAAACATGTGAGCCAACACAATCAATTGTGAACTATAATTATGCTGTAAAAACAGCAAACCTTATACATCATGCAGATCTGTACGATAATTATAATTACCATTACCTGATCAAGATAGAAACCTGGATGTTGACTACATGCAACACACTCTGAATTGCTCTTCAGTCCATATCTGCATCTAACATGATCTCCATCTGGGTCATGAGCCAATAGATTGTATGCAGTTGGGCAGTTCTGAGGAGCCCTTGAAAAGATGAAACCCAAACAAGCTACTGTCTAGTTTTGATTTCCAGTAATTTAATCATCCAGAGTACAATTACTAAAACACATTAATGCATTCTAAAAAAACATTCTCTAACCAAAGATTTACTCTATTTCTACATCATATTATAGTGATGTGCATAACCCATTTGTTGATAACATTCCATATTGCAGAACACTTAACATTAAAAACTGGATGCTAAGAATGGGATGACATGAGAGGTCTCTTTACCCAGCACCTTATGAAGGCTAAATGTCAGTAACAAAGTTAAATGCAGTTGATCACTAACCTACAATACGTTACATACGTTTTTCAGTGTGTTATCAGATTTGGAACACTTACTGCATGCGTCACTTTTGAAGTGTGACAGTCATGTCAAAAAGGGAACAAAAACTACCACTTTACACCATCTTAGGAAAGAGTTAAACTTCAAAGAAATCACAACCGAAAGAATAAACTAAATGATAACCATCCCGATTAGATGAATGATTAAGTTAAATAAGGCAGTATCTTCATCATAACGTTTATGAAGCAATTGCGTTTTACCACAAATATCCTTTACCAATAAAGAACAGTACCTAAGGCTATACAAAAAGAAGAGGCGTTCTAGGATTATAAAAATAAACTGACAGATGGAGATCTGACAGCAAAACCTTATTTCTGGCAGAATCGTTGTTGTTGGGGATCTGTTGGAAGACCGCGTGTCAGATCTTGTTCCTAAATCCACATAGGTCAAAAGCTGCCACCAACTGGCATTAGCTGAATTATTAACCCAGCAGCAGTTGGTTGCCCTGCATTGATGAAACAAAAAGAAGAATCTTAAAAAATGTAACAAAAAAAGACAATCTTAACTTTCTGGCCTTGAACATGTAAAGCAGTAGTAAATTTAGGATAAATAACTTCTCTTCAAAGGAATGAAAGAGAAAATGGTCTTGAACCATACAGCCACTAAACCTTCACTGCCACTTATGAGTTCTTACTTCAATGTCAATGTTGCACAGGGGAATAAGTCTTAGCATATATCCTGGCTTGTAGGATTCCACCTATAAATGACAGTCTTTAGATTTAATACAAGTCTCAAAATAAGACTATATAACTCCATAGCAAAAGCTGAATTCATATATTGGTATGCAAACACAAAAAAAATCCTTAATCTGTACAAATAATGTGTGCTTGGCTACCCAAACAATTTAAATATTTCATATTCATCATGGTGATTTGAAAAGTAACTCACCTTAAAACAAAAGGTTTATCGGTTGTAACGTCAAAAGACATATACCCTTCTGCTTGACACCAGTTCCCTAAAATGTCATCGTCTATCTTCCCAAATTCATAATGCACGTTTTCTCCACAGGTACCTTTAAAGCACCTCAGATGCAATTCAGAATGGCATCCATTAGTGAAGGATTCTTTAACCCAATAGTCCACCTGCAAGTGACGATAGAAATTCTCCAATAAAACAGTGCTTAATGCAAAATAAAATAGTTTTCCAAGAAAAGAAAAATGTACTCATCCCCGGTGCATATTTAGAGAGTACGATTGATAATGATGAATTAATTTTATTGACACTGAACAAGCATGTAAAGTAGTGAACAATTTAGTGATGGATTACTAAACGTTTCCCTCTTATCGGCAATTTTTGGCTAGAGAAACTTTTGCCTGCATTTAAAATATTTAAACGCAGGCAACACGCCTTTAATTGAACAAACATTACTTACTCTAAACGTATCATCAGGATTTTTTCCTCGTGGTGTGAAGTACATAATCGCCCCCAGAATATGAGATGAAAAGCTAAAAGAAATCAGACTGCAGAAACGACACAGTATTAGAAGATTCATCGTTACTCTGACTCTGACAGTATGTTGAAAGTCGAGAGCGAAGCGTTCTTTATAAACTACGATTGCAGATGCTCGTTATTAGAATAATTGTTAATCAACTGATATATGAAAGGGGGGAAACTTAAGTTTGTACTCGTACATAGTGTTAAATAGACTTCTATTTCTTACAAATAAATTGAATTGAAAATAATCAAACTTTGTTGTGATTTGCCAACAAGCGTTCGCTTCCTGTCTTAACTATTCTTTATTCGTGATAGTTCGTAGTCGCAAATGAGATTGTCTTGAGCGCTAACACGATAATTTGCCCAAGATAGTGCACACGCAAAAGACGAGAAGCACGCATGATGTCATATTGTATGTATTTTGGAACACACTGGTAATCTCTTCCTTAATGACTGTCAATCCAGTTTGCAACATCACCTGGTAATAATTTAATTATCAGGGCCTGATCTTTTAATATACTCCAAAGCAGTGTAACGATCACAAAATAGAGCGAATTAAAGAAACTAAAAATAATATTTTTGAAAAGCCAAGGATTTATGAGCAGGATTAACACTGCTAAGTATACAGTTCATTCAGTACAACATTCAACTGAACCAGTTTGTCAGAATTGTTATTGTGTTCTTGTCGCCCTATTTCAGTTTTAACTGCTAATTTGGTAACTTGTTACAGGCTCCCAATTCCCTTCTTAGAAACATGGTCTTTCTCTCGGATTGTATTGTTTCAGCTTCCATGTAATAGCACATTGTATTACTGGAGCTGTCGTGCTGATCACCACAAAGACCTTTGTGTTAGAGAGAGAAAAGCGAGCTTCACGACGAACTGTACAGATTTTCCAGAGTGCAAGTGGGTCAGTCATTCGTCTGAAATTATTCCAATACGGAAAATCCAACTGTGCAACTGGTAGCAAGATCCATTTGTAGGTGTAGGGTTTTAAAAGATGATGTGTAAAATATTGCTGCATTTGTTTCCAAATACATTTTATTAAAATAAACTAAATATTGCTGCAGCTTTAAATAAGCTTTTATTAATGCAGACACAGTTTGGGGGAAAAAAACTTCAAAACTTTAACAGATCAGGTCGGAACTCATCAATATGATTTGCTTAACGATTGTGAGTGTACAGTCAATACAGGCAAAAAGGCATTGTATGAATGCACTGTAAAATGCACACTTGTAATTGACAATCTTGGTGCATTACATTTAATATATTTTACTCTGGGGAGAATGTGCATTCTGATCACCAGAAGCTCTGGGTCTCCTAGTCTATGAGAAGTATGAGGTGCACCTGAGAGCTGTCCTAATGTTAGGGTGAAATGATGTCATTTGTCAGGTTTTAAGTGGAAGTGTCTAAAGACGTTGTTCAAATATGATTTGAAAGGAGCATCTCCCAACTCATTGAACTACAGCACTTGTACTGCTGCTACAAAGTCTTAACATGGAATAGTTATGCAAAATGGATACCTATTAAAGGAACAAAACAAAAAGAAAACCCTTTATGATGCTGAGGCCAGGCACAATTAAAGTGCTGAAATGCCAAAAAGCTCTATGATTTCCTTATACTGTATACCTATGACAGCTCGTATGTGTCAGAAGCAGCTGAGGCAGAAATGAAACCAAAAGCACATGATAGAGCTCAAGTCAGACCAGACAATAACCATTGATTGAGTTTGACTAAGAAAGCAGCACCCCCTGCCCACTTGAACTGTTAATGAATTCAGCACTTCTCTACAGTACTCATACTGTACTAACACCTCTCTTTGGAACGTTTAGTTAGCTAAATTTACAACATATTGTTCTAATTAAAAAATGAGGTTCCTGGGGTTTTATTCTTAATATATAAATGCAAATAAGTTTCACCTTTAAAGTTTATAAAATTACCTTGTTCAGCCTTTTCCAAAAACCTGGATTTGAAACCATACTGTGTATTAATAGTTCAGAACTGCAATCAATAATGATCTCCTAAAAATTAAATATAGCTATAGAAAACAATACTAGGGTGGGCAGCAAGTACAAGATTGATCACTGACCCATGTAAAAAAACTTTTAGAAAAACATTTTTCTTAAATGTGCCTCTAAATATTAGATCTTTTCAGGCTTTGTAATCTATAAAAGACCTGTTGTGTTGCAGACACACTTATTCTCACTGATACAAACACCCACACTGTGACAGCGCACTAACTAATGCACCCTATGACACACACAAGGACATTGACACGCTTACTCACTGAACACAGTTCTCACATTAGAATGTGCAAGCATGCATCTACATACTACTTTAACTTAGGAAGTCAATAGTTTACAAGTCTGCATAACGTGTGACAAAATAATATTGATCAGGAAAATAATTAGTAACTACGTAATGAAACTGCTCCAGGTCTTGGGGTCAGAAATATTGAACCTCAGAACGTAATGTCTTTCATTTTAATAACAGGTACATAACAGTGATGCCGGTGGTGTATTTTCTAATATATGATGGATTGAACCAATTGAAACACTAGGTGGCAGTATCTGAAAACTTATAAAACACGGTTTGTAGTCCTGATGATTTCTGAAGTCCATTTCCTGATCAATTGCAATGCTTTCATTCTGAGCCTCTGGTAATTAACCGCAACAACAGCTTACAGTATGAGTGATTCAAAAACTAAAACGATATCAGTCATGCCGATGCTAGAAAGCATTTCTGGCTGCTCATTTATATATATACTCAGGAGCCTCCTTGCCACATATCCTGTTGGGTGTGGTTGCTGTGAGCTTTCAGGCTGAAATGCACTATCAATATTATTATGGTCTATGACTGAATCTCATAGACTGAGTATATCTATCTTGACAAGAAGCAAATTACTTTGAGACCCAGAAGATTGTTTACAAAATTGTGCTGTACATAATCAGATACTGTACCTTATAACACAGTTCTATTTCAACTTCCCAAGAGTGTGTGGATGTCATTAGGTCCTATCAGTCATCTGTGAGTTCATGGAATACTTTCATCCTCGACTGTGAAGGATAGCTGATGAATGCCACAGCAGTAACTGGTAACATAATTTGTTACTGTGATGTGAGATACATTTTACAATAATAATTATAATTTCTTACACGTATATAGTGCTTTTCTGGACACTCCACTCAAAGCGCTTTACAGGTGATCCCCTCCACCACCACCAATGTGCAGCCTCCACCTGGATGATGCGACAGCAGCCATAGTGCGCCAGTACTCATCAGCTATCAGTGGGGAGGAGAACAATAGGATCTAGATAAAACGTCACTGAGAAAGTGGTATATTTCCAGTACATATAAACTGCAAACAAGATTTTTTTGTAAAGCAGAAAAACAAAAAATGTTCCACATATGTAATTAATTCAGTGCTATTTAAATTTAAAAAGCTTGAGATTGCAAAGCTGACAGTTATGTAAATACATTGTAGGAAGATAATGTGATTCTGCTTTAGTTTTGTAATTGAACCCAATCCCAATATACCACATCTTTAAGGAAGAATAATAATCAACCTATGCCTCTTTGGGATAATCTACATCTGGATTTCATTAGACCAAAGAAACTGTGTCACATACTGAACATGTACAGTATATCCCTACAGCAGTTGCTTGAGGCCATCCAGGAGCAATTCTGGTGCTTAAAAGTGGTCTATCAATTTGGTGTGTATGTTTTCACTTAGCCACTTATGAAACCTATCTTTTTGCTTCTTGAATACCAGTTATCTTTTGTTCATGGGTTTAGTATTTTCTCACTAATCAAATGCTGCTGCTGTGCAATGTTTGGGTGATGTTTCCAAAAGAGTGGCAAGAAAGAATAAATATTATTATGATGTTCATTATGTTGATAACAAAATCAAGGCACAAAACAGCAGGGTGTTTTGTTTTCTTAATCTGCCAATTTCAGCACCTGCTCATGTGTCAGATTCGGTGCGCTGATTTCTTTATAAGGCTAGTTAATGAATGAGGAATTATATCTTAAGAAACTGGTATCTTAGAATGTAGAGTGTTTTAAGAACACTCAAAATGGTGTGACACAATGTAAATAAAATATATTCATTGAAAAAAAAAATATGATTTTAGAGTTTGATTCCTGTGGTGGCTGTTCAAAGAAATTGACATTGAGAGTTGAATGTTTAAAGTTAATGATTCACTGATAATGTAAGCTTTTGACGTTCTTTCAGGGACAGGCTTGGCTACCCATTGAGCTACTCAATCAGACCCACTGATATAAATCCATGTAGGGTTTGCCCACGGAAATACCTGAACCATGGAGTATTTCAAGCTAATACATATTGCTGAGGATTTCAGTTAATTTAATTTAATCTGACATGCTAAGAGTATTTCAGAATGTATCCGTTCCCTAGGAGGATGCATTGAAATTAGAGGGAGACATTATGAACATGATTAGGTGTAAATTCACTTCATAACTTATTATCTTTAGAGTATGACGAGACCTTCTGCAACCTTTTGAATTTAATAATAAATCACCTTACAGGAGATTTTTCCTTTTCTCCATGAATAATAACACGGAATTGATGCAACCTCCAGATAATTCTAACTGTGCAAACAGTCTTATTCATGCAAACATTTCTTACAGCATGAGGGTGGTTCCACAAAGAAACTGCATTCTAAGATTATGCAGAGTTACAGGCTGTATAAATGGCTGACCCTGAGCTTTTCTCTCCCTGTCTGTGTGTCTGTGTGCCTGTGTGTCTCATGGAGAACAAGCTGTGGTATGCGAAAATTAAAAAATTCTAATGCAAGAAATTGTAGATGGCTAATAAAGTGATGTAACAATAGCAAAAGTTGAAATATAGCCAAAAGAAGGAAAGATAGCAAAAAACAAGATTATATGTTTTAGGAAATTGAAAATAAAAACTGTTCAGTTGGTGGACATGGGTATTGAAAAAAAGGTGTTTTTATCTAAGTAGTTAAAGGTAAACTGAACTGTAAATACCATTCAATGCATCAAATAAGTGCCAGAAAACAGGAGGAAGTAGAATACAGTTTCATATACTGTGTACTGCCTAACATTGCTTTCGTTTTTTAAATTAGAAATTTGGATTAACAGACTTATACAAACTTTAAATGTTTTATGATCCTATGTAGAATTTTATATAAAGCTGCATTATGAATTGATAACAGCAACAGGGGGTGGGGGGGTGATTTCTGCATTTGAAAGGCTTAGTATTACTAATTCAGTGAAATGGTCTTAATTGTGGGCTTTAAAATGTAGTACATGTGTCCTTTCTATATAGGGATGTGTATTGGTTTAAAGATGTAAAGCATGTTTGTGGAGCATTTCTGTCATCCATTATCGCTAAATATCACTTAGCAGTGCATTAATCCACCTCTACCTCATGATCTGAGCAGCAGCATGTACAGTATATCGCTGGAGTTGGGTGATCTTTGTAATGTCCTTATTCATAATCGCAGGCTGTGCTACTTTACACGTAAGGTTTATTTCTGATGAGCTTAATATAGGGCCAAACAACAATATTAAAACATTCAAGACAGAAAAGATGTTACAGATTCTGAGGTTATTTTTCACATTTCTGATTCATGCATAAAAGTACATTTCATTATTAAAGATACAGTGTATCGTGTACCATCTCATGATGTTTAGAAGTGCAGTTCAAATACTGCATGACTAAAACCAGCAATCATTGCTTGTCCAAACAGATAAGATCTAGTTCACTAGATAGTGATTAAACTTGTTATGCAGGTTCGTTTCACTCAGAAATAAACTTGAACTGTCATAGATAGAGGGGGGTTCCT